CACACACACACACACACACACACACACACACACACACACACTATTTTGTAGTATCACATGTGCCGTACCGACTACAGGGACTCTCGATACCAGGAGAGTTTATAAGCTGAATTACAATAGAGCATTTCAGTTATAATAAACTGTCTTAATCCTGCAACCATGCAAAGCACTTTAAACATTTCAGGATTTTAGGCAAATAGATAAGACCTGTTGAAAATAAAACTTCACTAAAAAAGGTTTATAAAAATAAGGTTTAAGAAAGATGCTACCGATTCTGGAAGCCTCAGACCCAAGGAGCCTGGACTCAGGAACAGCCTGCCCGAGGTCTCAGAGGGGAGCAGCAATTCAGAATGTTGCTAGGGGCTGAACTAGGGCTGCAACTAACGTTTATTTTCATAATCGATTAATCTGGCGATTGTTTTTTTCGATTAATCGGATATTAATGGACCAAAAAAGGCGTGTGAATAAAAACGTCTCTTTAGTCTTGCAAACTATACCACCCCTGCTTTACTACTGTTATTAACGAGCTAACGCTAACTTGTCAAGCTGGATAACGAGTAAACACCAGCACCAGAAGAGCTACTGGAGGGACGTTACGTTCCTCACTTCAAAACGGAACACAAGTAGGATTCTGTAGTGATTTACCCTGCTGTTGAACTCTCTTCCTCCTCATCAAGGACTCTAACATGTTGAATCAGGAAACAAATACTGTAGCCATCTGTGTTCACCCAGAGCTCTACGATACCTCATATCAATAGAGACCGGACCAAACTGTGTATATACACCATATGGTACAAACAATGAACAGACGCTGCCGTATTTATGTCTAGATGACGTTATTCCGAGTGTTGGTGGAGCTGCTACAATGTTAGCATAGCCTAGCACCGACCTGTGGCTTGCTAGACAGTGAATACAGCTCGATAAAATCCACAGAGCTCCTCTGGACAATATTATGAATCCAGACATGACGGCGTTTAGTTTCCCGGGATATCTGTGACTTCCACAACACGTACTAAGCAGAAATAGGTTATTTTTTCCATGGTTAATGGCCGACAGTTGAACGGCTTTCAGGGCGATAAGCCCCGCCCCCTCTCCGGCGTGTCCAGCACGAATGAACACAAATAGTCCCCGGCGAGACTGGCGTTTGGTGTGAACATGGCATTAGGTCGTACTGATTTCTCTGCCTCCACCATGTGTTTCAGAACAACATTTGGTCACATGGCGTTGCCAACTCCATTATTTATTTATTTATTTACAAAGCTACAGCAATAACTGGCCCCATGTCATCTTCAATTTTTGGGAGAAAGCCTTCGCATCCAATCAGAACGCTGCAGCTATCTGATCAAGGGGTGCATCCATGTCTCTTACAAGAGAGCAGAATTTGACTGACACACACACACACACACACACACACACACACACACACACACACACCCTTTGGCGGCTTCCGTTAAGTCTCCATCATGATGTGCTGTGTGACACTTAACGACATGCCTCTGAAGCAGACTACAAGCACAGCAAGTACTATTTGTTCACAGCTGGCACAACAGACCTCAGGTCACATGGTCGTTACGTCCCACTTCCACAAGTTGAATAACGAGAAACCCTCTGCGGAGATAACTCCGGTTTGACGCTGCGGGACAAAACAGCCACCTACTGCTGAACAGCTAGTGAACAAGTCGACCAATTCCGTGTGCAAGCCATTAAAGTGGGAAGACCTTGTAGTTATTGTCAACTTCAGATGGCCAGTTTGCCTTCAACTGGTTCAGCAAGACTTAAAATACACCTTGCAGTCCTACATTCTCTGGACAGGCCTCTGTGCTCCTCATTCAAACTGTACATGGCTCCCATTTCTATTTGACTTTCAACTGCATCACATCAACCAAGGATTTCAATTTGAGCAATTAGGGGTTAATCTCCTTCACCTCAGTAATATGGCGAGGAAGTTTTGCATGCGTTGTAGTTGACATGAATTCTTCATAATACAGGATTATACATGAACACACTTCATGGTGAAAGCGGCATCCCACGCTGTCCCAGATCACACGTTAGAGGTTTAAGAGTCTTTCACTCAGTGCTAATCTATGCTACAGTCAGGAATAGTCTAGCAGGCTTATCCGCTCACCGGAGGTTCTTAACAGCAACACCGCACTTGTGAGTACAAGACCATGTCCTGTGGATGGTTAAAAACACCACCAGCGACTGCAAGGAAAGCAACCAATTTCAGAGGAAGAGCCGTATAAAGAAACGTGTACTTACATGGAGCATCTTCATGCCTGCGAGTTTGAAGCCTTTCATCTCAAACCTCTTGATGACCTCTCCAATGATGCCCCTCTGCACACCATCGGGCTTGATGGCAATGAATGTGCGCTCCTTCAACTCAGCCATGATTCTGAAACAAAAGCAGAAAATTAAAAACGTAAAAAAGGAAAATAAAGTGCAATCAGCAGGAGGAACAAGCATGGAGTGTCACTCACGCCTCTCGGTTGCACTTGGCACAGTCAGTGGTGGGGCCGGCTGCGGAGGGCCCCGACCCCATTGCAGTGAACGCAAAAGACGACAAAGGCTGGTGTGGATCTCACAGCTTGATCACCTAATCTGAACCACTGGGACTTTGACAGCAAGCCCTGCCCACCGAGCTATTCTCACACTATGGTGCACTGGATAGAGACCATTCACACATGTGAATGTAGCAAGTCAGCTTTAATCCTACCATTTGGGCCAGAGCACCAACCAGCAGTCGTGAGGACCCTATTGAAACTAGTGAGTTTCATCATGTCGAAGCACAATGAAGCACCTTTCTGAGGCCCTCAAGAATTTAGCACACTCATCTGAACAGAGATAGATAGAGATATATACACACACACCATCTTGTGCTAAAATGGCTCACCAAATAGTCAGTACAATCTAAAAGACCTGTGTGACAAGAAGTTATTATGAATTTGTTTTTTCATGCAACATACCTGACTGAGAAGGCTGTCATAAGATACTATATTTAAGTTATTGTTGGTACTACCAACCCATAATGCGTCGCTTTATTTTGTTCTTCATGTATACCGTAGAAAGGAAAACTTGACCTGATCTATGGTAAATTATGTGCATTTGAACATTGCAGAATAATTTGTGAATGTGGGGAAAAAAACAGCAGTTCAGCATTAGTTTAGTTTAAAATTGGAAGAACTTTACAACTAAAGCCATCTTCAAGAGCCATTTGGTTTTGGAATTAAACATCACAACTTTTATCTTTATACTTGAGAGATATTTGTCAGCAATAGGCCAACGTCCCTTGGTTTTATAAAAAAGGGATTAAAAACCTGCAAGTCTGTGCTGGGCACAAAAACAAAAACCGAAATTGGCCCTACCATCAGAGCACAGCAGTGTAGCTGAGGTGGCAAAAATATGAAGATTGCCACGTCTACTGCAAGCATGCAATTAAAAATAAGAACAAAGTTTCCGATAATCAATGAATGAAAATGTATTATTTCATAATTTTAATTAGAAAAAAATACATAGATCTCAGGAAACTCCCTAGGATATTGGTAGAAAATATTGCAGTCAAACAAAAAAATAAGATTTGATAATGACAGTTTCCGCCAGACATTAGCTTAATTTCTGCACAAAAAAAAAAAAACACTAGATCGAGGCCAAGACATGGAAATAACCCTTTGAGAATGAAACCCACTGACTGCAATAGCTCCCCCCCAAGCTATTGCACGCAGACTTCAGTTGAACCCTCAGCAGGCTGACGTTGACATTTACGCAATGAGTTTATCGCTGTAGTGGGCCGGCTTAGCACATTTGAGGCGTAGCTATGTTAGCAAAGCGTGAATTTCAAGAATGGCTATACTAGTACAGCATGGACGATCACGAGTCACGGTAAACTGACTCCTTGACTTATACATCCTATAATGTGCACGAGATAGAGTTTCTGTAAAAGCGTTGGACTGCACGTGCGCACAAAAGGTACTTCCGACCTGTGACTCACCGAAATCAATGACGTTTGGTCTGCCGGCTGCACGCGACAGTCGGACTAAATTAAGGCTAAATTAAGTTAACCGTACAGTCACAAATGGACCCCAACCAGAGAAGTGACTTGCATCCTCCCGAACAATCACTTCATTACTGACAACTACCAACATAGCGCCAGACAAACCGACGTTAGTCACAGAGCAAGTTCAGACATCCAGTTCTGAGGAGAAGACAGCACAGGCCCAGGCCTTCAGACATACATCTTTTGTTCGCGCTACCGCCGCGAAGAAAAGAAAAGAAAAGAAAAGAAAAAAAAAAAAAAAAAAAAAAAACCCACTTCAAACACCAGCGACGCAGCTACACTGATCCAAGACCGAAACACAAAAACATAATTACCCCGTAGCTTCATTTATTAGTATACCGTTACTCTTAAAAATTACAGTATTACCCGGAAGACGTTAACATGTTTAAACCACATTAACTTGTGATCACACCCGCTGGAAAATTGTTATAAAACTGATGAACGCTAGCTTCAAACTCGGAAATGTAAAAGGGAGGAAAGTAGGAGTATATGTATTAATATAAACGTCACCTATACAAATAAAACGCTGACATTACCTTAACAATAGAGCTCACGTTGTGTAGTAGGTAGCAGCTGCACCGGTTGACGTGGGAGGAGAAGACCGAAAAAGCTTGCGCAGCCGCATTTTATGCCAGAAGGCGGGGACTGGCTCGCGACGGCAAGACATTGGAGCCAAAATAGAAAGATCAGTTTGCAAAGTAGTCTCGTGAAGTCCCGTGAACCTTTCAAGTGTAGTAGGGCATATCACTACAGACCGAGTGCAAAGTAATGAAAAAAGGAAAAAAAAAGTCCTGTGACACTCATAAGTACCATAATAACTAATGATAATAACCTGACTGACTGACTTTTACTGTCGTTTTTTTTTGATAATGTATAGTATTTTATGATCTTATCATGTGGTTTAATATGAAAATGTTCTTAATCTGAAAACGAATTAAAGTTGCAAGATGAAAAAGTAATATCTACAATATTTCCCTCCGAAATTTAGTGGAGTAGAAATAAATTAAAAGAAAGAATAAGATATCTTGTTATGAAATAGTACTAATCCAGTTCATAACTGCTGTTTCAAAAGCAGCTGGTCAGATGTGTCAATGTTGTCAAATTGATTTGTTTTTCTGAATACATCTTTTTATTCTGATCTGCTTATACTGATAGCAGAATGGTTGATGGCTGTAAAAACATTTTTTCTGCTTTTGGAAATATATTCATAAATTTCATTTCATACATAAAAACACTAGAAATGTTCCCAGTCTCATACTTTTTTAGGATTGATGTGGAACATTTCGATGCATTCCGAAACAATCTGGGTAAAAAATAAATATACATATAAAAAATAATAATATATCAAATATATTTTTAAAATTCTGCACATTAATATTTTGTCAAGGAGAAAATCTTGACAAAACACTTCTATGTTAGCAATATCAAACTTAGAATGTTCTACTTATGTCAGCAAGTAATGTTTTAACTTGGTAACTTTTGAGGTTGACAAACTTGAATTTGAGTCAACAGCTGTTTAGATATATTGAGAGGAATTGTTTGACTCTATTTATCTTTTACTGGTCAGGCAGGTTCAGGTTGGATTCCTCCATGTACAACAGTGTCGCTACAGCTTTGGCTGCACCTTATAACCACAAACATGGATACAGCTGCAAAGTTGAAGGTTGAAGTGAATAGTTATCGTCAGGCTTCAATATTTTACTTTGATCCGAGCGAAGCTCATGCTACTCATCTGAGACAAATGTATAAACACCCATCATAACTTTCCTAAAATTAGTTTAATGAAAAAAAGAAGAAAGAAAATAATTTGAATCCACATATGTTGGTAAGCATGCAATGTTTCTCTTGGACATTTGATGAAGACTCTCTGAGATGGTTCCATGACTAAACAACACAAGTTACAGCAACAGAACTCTTCAACTTTGAAATGAAACTACAGCTTAAGATTGTTAAACATCAAGACTCACTCACTTTTGTTGAAGGAAGAGACTGTTTGTTGCTACGACTTAAATGCTTACTTTAAATGCTGGTAAATTATATTTCTTAATCTTAACACCTTGTAATCCTTCATTATACCAAAGAATGTAGATATAAATAGCTATTTTTAAAATGTTGAGGTCTTTACTGCTATGTTTTCAGTTGATCATCATGTTCAACTTCCATGAAGTTTGCCTGAGGTGGCACGGGCCACCCCTGAAATCTGATTGACCACCCCTGGTGCAAAGTCATTATCCCAACCCATGATTGGCTATCTGCCCGGTGAGTCTTAAGACGTGAGGCGACGCTTCAATGTCTGTTTGGTGTGTCTGGGCCTTAAGTTGCACTTAAACACACTGCAAAGACAATGGCCAACGGTCTACTTGCGTGTATGTTCTGCATGCGTGAGATGAAATAACTCTCCGTACCAGTAAGTGGCGGTAGTCTGTATTCGTCATTTAAAAAAGGGAAACTGGAAGACCCTACTGTCTGTCTGCGGATGTACAAGCCTTGTACATACGCATGTCATGCTTTGTTATGATGCATACGAAACAAAGCAGTATCCTCACTTTCTCTTCTCGTGCACTGATTGGCGTCAAGGTGGAAAACAGAGATTTGGAGCATTTCTATTGTCTCTCAATGGCCCTCAAGCTAAGCCAGCGGCTAGAAGCTAACAGTGGTAACTGTGCAAACAACTGCAAAAGTAGAGCTAGCTGTATGCGCAGCCAGCCCGGCGATGTCACCAAAGACTTCAACACCCAGTGGGAGAGTGACTTCATTCTCAGCTCCGGTAGACATTACTCCACTATATCATAACGGAGCAAATAGCCGTTTGTTGCTATTTTCATGCTCTAAATATTGAATTCGGCACCTTTAAGCTGAATAGCCAACCAGAATGGGCTCCGCCGACAAGTAAACATGCTCAAATGGCCGATAAGACGCCGACAGGGGCCAACCAGTGCCAACCAGTGCCAAACGGCGAGGGACGCATTGCAAAAACTTTGAGTCAGGGCCTTTATATCGAACCATATAGACTGTATACAAAAAGTGGACGTGGTCGTCGTAACGTCACCCATTGGTTTGTGGACTGCAGTTTCGATGCCTTGAGTTTGCCGATTTTGCCGTGGCCATCTTGGATTATGATCGTCAGCATGTGGTTTTTTTTTGGAAGTTACAATATTTGGAATGCGGAGGATCAACGTAGAGAACCGGAGGTTGACGCCTGGTTCAAACCAACCGTTTAAAGAGTAAAACGCACTTTAATCCTAAACCTACTAAGTTTATTAACCTAAGGTAGGTTTATTTATCTATTTAATTACAGTTGTTTTAACATGGAGGAGCATATAGTAATTAACTACAAGATACTATAATGTTAAGTAGAAATGAGTAGTGGAGACAGAGATGGTAAATGAATGCTTTTGTGACGCGGACATGCTGCTGTGAACTTCCATGCTGTTACATAAAAGCAATAGCCACTATCATACTAATATTAATGCCCACATGTGAAATCTGCAGGCTTACAGCCTATGAAAGGCAGCTTTAGGGGGACTTAAAGGTTAGGGATCTGCAGCTCATGGCTTTTATGGTATGAGCTACAGACAAGTCATAAAGTAACTGGGCGTGGCATGACATTAATGGCCCAACCTTAATGCAACCTGTGATCTAAAGGCCAAGAACTGCCTCTCTTGCTTAAAGCACTATATCCCCACCTCGCCCCCTTCACTTGATTGAGTTCCTCCGAGCCCAACTTCCTAGCAGTGAGAAAATATTAGGTATGTCGGCTCAAAAAACAAATCTCCCTCTGATATTGAGACATTAAGACATTTCACCCTTTGACAGAGATAAATGTGTCTGTTATTTTTGCCACTTTGGTTGCATATAGAACTCCTTTAAGTGAAACACACACAAACACACACACACCCACACACACACCCCCCCACACACACACACACACACACACACACACACACACACACATAAACGTTTCCTTAGGTCACTTTTGGGGACATTACATTGCATTCTTTTCCTGGAGTCCTATCCTATACCAATCTAACCATAACCACTGACCTAAACATCAATTGTTCCCCATATGCCTTAACAGAGTATTACAAAAGACATTGAGTCATATTTTATATTTGGCAAAAAAAAAAGAATTTTTCACCGCCTCTCCTCTCCTTACTATTTCCCCCTTTTCTCGATTTATTTCCTTTGTTTTCTTTCCTGTCCTGTATCCTTTTTCTTTCCCGTTCTCTCCTCTTGTTTCCTCTCCTGTTTCCTCCACTATTTGTTTGCTCTGTTCTCTTTGTTTCACCTCTAGTCTCCTGTTTTCTCTCCTCTCCTCTCCTACACTTCCTTCCTCGCCTCTTGCACCTCCGGCAGCCGATGCTCTTAGAAAACAAATGGAGAGTTAATCTCATGGCCTAATCTCTTGCGTTCTACTCCCAGTCCTATTTTTCACCAGGGTTTAAGGCCAGGATTAAAACGTCTTTTTTTACTCTCTCTCTCTCGCTGGATTTTTCAGGAGGATGAAACTATGGATGGCTAAGTGCTGTTCACACTTCTCCAGAAAGGTTATTAGCCGGGCGCCTTACTACGAGGCATGGCATACTGAGGATGCGGCGTAATTGGCATCGTCCCGGCGCTTTGAGATTCTCTTTCTTGGGCTTAATGCAGAGGGCAGGGCTCCGCGCTCGCAGGAACCGTGAAGCAGGATGGAGCTTGTACTGTAATGGATTGTAATACAGAGTTATTATTTTTGCTTTCAGAGGCACCTCCCAGCTCGAGAGAGTGTGAAGCTGTTTCGGCTGAAATTGCTTTCGGATGCAAAATGGTTGTTGACGAAAATTTCTCGTGGTGCAAAAAAAAAAAAGGTTGGTTTATTGCCTCAAATTACTGCCAGAGGCAAATGAGTGATTTCAAGGCATCGTGTGGGAGGTTTCTGGCGGCAGGCGGCCAAATGCTCCTCTGAAGATGGGTGTGTGCACGAGGCTGCGCGCACCTGCCGGCCGTATCCACGGCTCCGGTCCTCAAGGTGCAGAGTCACACACCGGCCTCGAGTTCACTGACGGAGATGAAAAAAAAAGGTGTCATTTTTAGCCGGATGCACATTTTTATGAAGCCCGTAAATCTCTGCAGCATCCGCCCGCCCAGAGGGGATCGTTACACGGCTGAGAATCATTACTGTAATATAACATGCTCTGTTTTGGGACTGAGGTTGTGATGAGCCCACGCTGCAGCGGCGCATTAGCGTCTGACTGTGTTGCTGCATAAGCAGCAAAAAAAGGCAAAAGCTCCCCGTGGGGAAAAAAGGTTTTTATGAATTCATAATTTAAAGGAATGTCAAGTAATTTTATTTACACAGCCCAAGATCACAAATCATAAATTTGCCTGTTCAGACCCTGAACGCTGAACGGGCCTCGTCCACGGATATTTGCTTGTCAGGAATCACATAACCTTGTATAGGAGCACAGCCACTCCGGTGCCCAAAGTACTCACGCACGCACGCACGCACGCACACACACACACACACACACACACACACACACACACACACACACACACACACACACACATCTGTCACTCCCATTTTTCCCTCAAAAAGGAAACTTGAGCCCAGAATCCACTCAAGAATTCCATTACATATCCACAC